AGCCCGCCAGCACCACCCTGGTCACATGCATGTTACCTACCATGATTCCAGAGTACCCGCCCTCCCTCCCTCCCTATTTTGTGGTGCGAGGACGCACCTTCCGGGAGAGGGGAGTAATGTCATGTCCCTGGACTCTTTGTGTTGTGTTTTCCCTCCCCAGGTGTGCCGTGTTCCCTTTAATTAGTCATTCCTTGCACCTGTGTTTTCCCAATCACCCAGTGTTTAAAAGCCCCAGTCCTTTCAGTTAGTGTTTGTCGGTCCTCAAACGTCATTCCTTGTGTTCCAGTGTCTCCTACGTTCCCCGTGTGATCATTAAAGACTGTGAATTTAAATTATCTCCGTGTTTCCTCGTTCCTCGCTCCTTGCCTCCCGAGAAGTGTGACATTTACTCCGTTGTCCATGAATAAAAATACTCACTTGAAGGAGCTGATGTTTGAGACTCAGTTGAAGGAGAGCTTGTAGTGGCTGGAGCTGCTGGGATATTTAGATTTACAATGGAAAAAAATTTTTTTTTTTTTCACATACAGTAAAATTTTTGCACTGCGAGAATTATTAAAATACATTAAATTGCTGTAATCTGTATGAATACAATATTGTTACTATTTCCTATCCCCAAATGTAAATTTAACACCGGGCTAGATGCTGATGTTTGATACTTGGAATTTGACATGAAATAAGCACAGTTATTATTACAATATATCACATTATCAATATCATTTTCCTATTACCACATTTACTTAATCATCCATGAAAAAAAATACTCACTTGTTTGAGACTCAGTTGAAAGAGCGCTTGTTGTGGCTGGGGCTGCTGGGACATTTAGATTTATGAAGAAATAAAATTATAATTTAAGTAATATTCATTGACATGCTTAAAAGAAAATGTCTGAATGTAATGAAATGATCTACTGAAATTATTAATTGAAGAATGTATGACATTAAGTGTAAACAGCATTACATATTGTATTACAGTAACAGGATATAAACATATTAACTGGTGGGACTCTGATGTTTGATACTGTGACTGTAAATGTTAGTACTGACCTGTAACCGTCTGCGCATTCAACCCCTGCAGAGAGAAGCAAAGTGCATAATTACTAGAGATGAAAACTCAAGTAATGAAAGTCTACGTCACAAAAAAAACGACTTAAACCTGGACTTTAATTCATTAACTGTCGACTTCAGACTTAAATTGCACTTAAATCCAGACGTTAGTGACCCACGAGGAGCAAAGTCAAGCATATTTTTCTAGATACCGCCATTTTGTGAGGTCATTTACTCCTGAATTAATCAACACTACGTTATGAATTAGTAACGTACTAATTTGCACAATACATAAACCCATTAACGACAAAAGAAGGCACAGCATATGAAAACCACACGACCAGTTTTAAAGGCCTCTTATTTATCTGTAAAATCCGCTCCGTGAACTTCAGAAACACTTTCACACATTCACTCCAAAGTATTTATGTACCGTACAGAAACTCTGATTGGTCCATTTTTAAACAAAATATTGTGATTGGTCAAACATGTTACTCGTCTTATTGTGATTGGTCAATCTTCACCGGTGCTGAGAAAAGAGACACTTTTAGCTGCAGCTTTTCATTTCTAACATAATTTACACAGCCATTAGGGTGTCTTTTGATGTCCTGTACATAAATAACTAATTTGCCATGATAACAAATGACTAAGAACAAGTGTGTGTTATATTAGGCTAAGTTTTTATATTCATAAAAAAAGCATTACTTGGCTCTTTAGATACATTTTCTAGATTTTGTTTCGTTTTGTGTAAGAGGATGCTATTTTGCTATGTCCAGGGCTGGACTG